AACCTTCCTTCCGAGGAGTGGCTGGTGGGTTTGAACCGCCAGCCTTCTGGTTAGCAGTCAAGTGCCTTAGGCACTATGCTACCAGAGCTCCTATATACTGAATAGTTATTTCTAAAGCTTGGTCACTCTAGGATCATATCTGTTCTAGAGGGGTACTCCTAATGTCTACTTTTACTTAAAATTCTCATCTTTGGTTTTATGTATTACTCCCCATCCCAACCAAATTTCAAGAGGCCATCAGAGTTCCTAAAATGCAATAGCAAGCGTCCCCACCAATTAAATTAGCATCAAAATACACTGCTCTCCTATCATTGTACATGGACATTACATTGTTGTTTATTGCTGTATAGCAAAACACCCCAGAATTTTAATGGCACAAAGCAAATAATACTAGGTGTCAGAAAATTGAGCAGGGTGCAATAGACATAGCTTGACTCTGCTCCATAATATCCGGTACCTCAGTTGAGGTGGCTCATATATCTAGAAATGACTGGGACAGCTTGATTGTGTTTTGGCTATTGGTGGGGTTCCTTGGTTCTTCTGTGGTACCTGCTGGGCTGTAATATCCAAGATGGCTTCCTCACACATATGGCGTCTGGGCTAGGATGACTAGAATGGCTGGGGATTGGCTGAACGTCTTTCTCATTCCACATGGCCTCTCTATGTGGCTGATTTGGCATTTCTCAACAGCATGATAATCTCAGGGTGGTCTGAATTCTTGTATGTTGGCTGAATTTCCTGAGAGTGAGCATACCAAGATCCACAAGCAGAAGTTGCTTTATGCAGCCAATACTTCTGCCTCATTCTCTTGCGTATATGAAACCAGACCAGATTCAGTTTGGGAGTACGTGAGTAGGTTTAGTTCATTGGTGGAGGTGGTGGTGGTGGTGGTGGTGGTGGTGGGGTGTTGTTATCATTGAAATCTAATTCCTAGGTAATTTAAGCATCAGTTGCATCATATGTGAATTTCCCGACATGTATTGATTGTTACCAGAAACACCTAATTCTGTAGTGCCTCCTTGGCTAATCTGTAGGGTATAAAAAGGCTATGAGAAGTTAATTGTATAATTGAAACAATATTTAACTTTCTTTAACCCAGTATTTCCCAAACTTATTTGACTCAGAATTTGAAACACGTAGTCAAGAGAAAAGCAATACAGTATAAAGCATGAAGTCAGAGAAATTTCTAGCTCACAATGTTTGCAGCTATAGGGTCTTGGGCAAATTAATCTTTCAGAGCCCTAGTTTCTTGTTCTGTAACACTAGTGATAAGAATACCACCTACCGAAGGTGGTTTTGAAGATTCAATGCTAGAATGTATTTTGCTTGTCACGTAATAACCTATTGCCCTCAAAACAAACAAACAAACAAAAAAAAAACCCACTGCCAGGGAGTCAATTCTGACTGATAGTGACCCTATAGGACTACCCCACAGTGTTTCCAAGCCTGCAATCTTTATGAAAGTGGTCTGCCTCATCTTACTTCCATGAGGTGACTGGGCATTTCTGTTAGCTGAAGTGCTTAACCACTGCTCCACCAGGGCGCCTTTGTCACCTAATAGATCCTTAATAGTGATGGCTGCTATTATCATGAATACAATTATTATTTAAAGCACTTAGAGGAAGTGAATGCAGGATAAACATCGAGGATAAAACATTCCAGGTTGTTTAGAATATGTTTTGGAATTTAGCAATTATAAATATTTTTTTGAGTACTTTTATATTTAAGCTCTGTACTGTATTATGAGTCGGGGCTGACTTGATGGCACATAACAACAACAACACAACAACTGTATGCTATAAGGGAAACAAAGAATTAAATACATTTTCTGCTCTCAGTTCATAATCAGTGCAAGAGTCAAGAAGTACAGGACTCAATTAATTTAATAAGAACAAGGGTTACCATAATATAAGAAAACTCAGAGGAAGAAAGGATTATGGAGGGTACTAGCAGATGGCTGTGATGGTCTTGAAGAATGAATAGGCCTTTGCTAGATAGAGATGAGAAGAAGAGCATGCTAAGTTAAAAATGGAGCAAAGTTCTGAGTATGAAGGAATTTTGCAGTAAGGCATATTTGGAGAACAATCTGGTATGTCTGAATTGTTACTAATTTTAGAAAATGTGTAAGATAAGTTCATTAAGAATTAATGGTTCATTAAGGATTAATGAAGGCTTTAGTTCTCAGTTAAATAAAAAATATAACATTGAATTTGAGTACTCACAAATTCTAATTTTTAGTTTGTGATTTGGTTCTTGGTACTCACAAGCTAAGTCTAGATCATCTTCTCTAAATGTGATTTCCATAGTCTTAGGGGAATTTTGGCTATAGAACAATTATTTTTTCAGGATTGATTTGCACTTACAATAGAGCCCTAATGGGAAACCTGCTGACATTTCAGTTATCTTTTCTCTTCAAAGACTTCAGCATATATGATTGAAGAAGAACTAAAGGAACGGCTAAGAAAAAAGCAAGAAACATTGAAGCATTTTCAGAGACAAGTCAAACAACGAGTAAATCAACATATTAAGCTGAGAAAAAAGCAACAGCTTCAGAAGTCTTATGAAGCAGTAAGTTGAAAAGTGGGCCTGAGTAAAGAGTGAATGGTGTGTATGTATGAGGTAACAGTAACAGAATCACTTTCTTTTGATTCTCTATCATATCTGATTTACTCGTGAGAATGGTAGATTTTATGTAGAAAAGCCATATTTTAATACTGTGTTGTTCTGAATCACTTTTTTGGTTTCACCAAATAGTTAAAAAACAGGGTTGAAGTTTTAGATTCAGACTTGGGTTTGAATTCTGGCTTTACTATTTGCTAGCTGTGTTACTTTGGCTTATTTAACTTTTCAGGAATGTAATTTTATCTGTAAAATGGAGATATAATATATGTCTCATGGAATTGTTTTAAGATATGGAAATTATTAGCATATAATAAGTGCCTGGTAAATGTTACTTTCTTTACTGGCTAAAGTCTCCCCAAACCAAAATCACTCACTGCTGTTGAGTTGATTCTGACTCATAGCTACCTTACAGGACAAAGTAGAACTGCCCCATAGGGTTTCCAAGGCTGTAACCTTTATGGAAACAGACTGCTACATTTTTCTCTCACGGAGCAACTGTTGGGTTCGAACTGCTGGCCTTCAGGTTAGCAGCTGAGCACTTAACCACCGCAACATCAGGGCTCAAAATTGCCCCCCCCCCCATTTAAAATCTTTAGGGCTGCTTAGAGGCAGTATTCAATTGCAGTGGGTTGGAGTGGAATCTTACTGTCCTCTTTCTTCCTTTTGTGTAGGCAGAGAAAGAAGGTTCTATGGCCATGCAGTCTTCAGATCCTGCACACTTAACTCCTAAAAGGAGAACAAGTGTTTTTCCAAAAAATTTGAATGCTGCTATTGGAAGTTCTTGGTTACCTTCTTCCCCAGAAGATGGAGAGAATCAGAATGAATTATTCCAACAGCAAGCCCAGGCTGTAAGTACATATTCATCTTATTTTATTTCTTTGATTTTTTTTTCATCCTCTAAACTAAAAAAAGGAGCTCTGGTAGCATGGTGCCTAAGGCACTTGCTAACCAGGAGGCTGGTGGTTCAAACCCACCAGCCACTCCTTGGAAGGAAGATGGGGCAATCTACTTCTGTACTGATACTGCCTCAGAAACCCAAGAAGGGATCGCAGTGAGTCGGGTCTGACTCAATGGCACATAATAACAACAACAACAAACTAAAATTATGACATATTTAGAATATGAAGTTGAGGTTAAGAGACATGACATTCAACTTCGTTTTTATTACTTTTCTACTTTTGTAATGTGGGGAATAGAATGGTGAGGTGATGCTTATTTATTATTCCTATTTATTTACTTTTGGTAAGACACTTTAGGATCTTCTAAAGAAAAATGCCAAAGTATTAGAGTTTAAAACTTATTAGAAAGAACTTTAGGTCAAGGACCATGCAAATTCACTATTAACACTGAAATTATGTTACAGGTAAGATACAGTCAGTTTTTAACATCTAATGACAGAAGTAATTCCTAACCTCTGTTGTAAAAAGGCTGAGTACAGATATGGGACTTTTCATTCATTGTTTTTCTTTGTCTCTTTTTTTGTTTCGCAAATACTGAGCCAGGTACTGCATAAGGTACAAGGGATAGGACACTGACTAAAGTAGACATACTTCTTGTCATCAGGGAGCTTATAAAACCTACTGCTAAGTAGGAATTTACTTTATAAAATGCATGACTAGAACTTATTAATAGCAGATATTTGAACAGGCTGTGTTTATTAAACTGTGTAGGGATACTAATGAAATATGAAATAGAACCCTTTGGGGTTTATATTTCCAAGTAGAACAATGAAACTAATAGGCCCATCTGTTAGATAATAAATAATGTAGAGACATTTGGTGTGTTTGGCAGTAAAGCTTATTCTTTGGCGGTTGAGAAATTTTAAAATTCCAGGGAAATAGTTGAGGAAGAATTCATGGAAAAAGTGGAATTGAAATGTATATTTTGAATTGGTAAACTTTGAATATGCAGGAGAGGAGAAAGAGGACTTTTGGATAAGAAGAACAGTTTAAGGTCTAGAATCAATAGTGAGCTTGCTACATTTGGGAGTAAGTGATGGGTGGAGATTTTCTAATTGGTGAGTTTATAGAGGATAGTAACAGAAAATGAGGTTAGATAGGTAGGAGTAAATCAGGATATGAAAAACCTTGATGGTACAAAATTAAAAGAAAATTTTATACACTGTTCTTTTTTTTAAAGTTGTTATATATGTATATGTAGCATGTATATATACATATATGTAGCACGTATATATAGGAGCTCTGGTAGCATAGTGGCTAAAGCACTTGACTGCTAACCAGAAGGCTGGCGGTTCAAACCCACCAGCCACTCCTCGGAAGGAAGGTTGGGCAATCCTACTTCTGTAGTGATACTGCCTTGGAAACCCATGGAGGGGTCGCTACGAGTCGGGGCTGACTCGACGGCACATAACAACAACAACAACAGCACGTATATATATTGCAGCATTTGCCAGTGTAATGTTTTTCACATTTACAGTTTGGTGACATCAGTTACATTAATCATGTTGTTCAGATATTGCCAATATTGCCAAAGTTTCCATCACCATAAACACAAATGCAGTACTTCCTAAACAATGATGACTCCCTATTTCTCCCTTTTTCCCACCCCAGATAATCACTAATAAACTTTGTATATTCTTTTCTTTTCTCGAAAAAAGATGAAGTACTAAAGAATATTGGTGACTTAAATGATTGTTTAGGCCTGCAAACTTTACCCATACAACTCTGTGATGTTGTTGTTGTTAATGTGCCATCAAGTCAGACCTGACTCATAGTGACGCCTCCTCGGATTTCCAAAGTGGTTGCACTATGGAAGTAGATTGCTCAACCTTCCTTCCGAGGAGTGGCTGGTGGGTTTGAACTGCCCACCTTCTGGTTAGCAGTCAAGTGCCTTAGGCACTATGCTACTAGAGGTCAACTCTGTGATAGTAGATGCTTTTTTTTTTTTACAGTTTCAGTTGCAGTTTTTATCCACTAGATGTCACTGAAAAATAGACAATGACACATTGTCTAAAACTGAGTAAATGTTGAATGAACATAATTCATTTTCTGAGTGTTAGTGAGCTTTTTAGATTTCTTATGTCTTGGAGCCATAGAAACAGAATCTTGGAGTTTAAAGGGTTTTAAAAGATCATCAAACATATTAAGATATTTCAGGGTGAAATAATTTCACATCTGGGATGTACTTCAAAATAATATAAGGGGTGTGTATGAGTGTGTGAGATGTAGGCGGACAGGGATAAAGCTTGATTGGCCAGAAGTTGATAATGTTAAAACAGGGTAATGGATACATGTGTGAGAGTGTTCAGTTTAATATACTGTTTACTTCTGTATATGTTTAAAGTTTTCCATATGTTTGAATTTATTTAGATTTTCAATGAAAAGATGAAAAACTGTTCATCTGGACTGACTTTTCTAAGGAATTCTTATAACGTCTCTAATGTATATATGGCCATCAAGTTTCTGTTTAAACATTTCTACTGTTAGAGAACTCACTACTTTTCATTCTGTTCATTTCAGTTTTAGAAGGCTTGAGATTATTAGAATTTTTTTTTTCAGTATATTAAGTAAAAGTTTTCTTTGTAACTTGGATGCATTAGCCTTAGTTTTTCCCTGTCAAGTAATAGAGAATAAAATGCCATGATCCTTTCTAAAAGCTTCCGATGTTTAAAAGCATTCAATTATCCTGTTGTTGTTGTTATTATGTGCCGTTGAGTCAGACCCGACTCATAGTGACCCCTTCTTGGGTTTCCAAGGCAGTATCACTACAGAAGTAGATTGCCCCATCTTCCTTCCGGGGAGTGGCTGGTGGGTTTGAACCACCAGCCTTCTGGTTAGCAGTCAAGTGCCTTAGCCATTATCCTATGCCTCCTAAATTTACTCTTTTTAGGTTTTCTACTTTCCTAATACTTGCAGTCATTTTTCATATGACATGATTTCTAGATTACTATCTTGGTTGGTTTCTTCTGAATGCTATTAATTTTTCAATGCTTTCTTCAAATATGACTCCCCAAAAGGAACACAATAGTTTGTTCCAAGTGTGACTTGGCCAGTGGGCCTCTATCCCTATCCTACCCTCCACTTATAATACTTGCTGGGGTTGAGTTTTAAGTTGGGAACTAGAATCATAGAAGTGGAAGAAATTTCACTATCAATATACTGATGAGTTCAGTATTGATATTTACACTATGATTGAGTTTCTATGGTCTCTCTTGATAACTGAAAAACCAACTGATCATTGCTTCATTCTCACCATTTACCTTTTATTTATCTATAGACTAGTAATTTCACAATAGTCTTTTTCCTTTCTATCATAGTTTGTCCCAGCTTTTTATTGGTATGTCTCTGCATCTTTTATTATCTTGTTTTTAGCTTTTACTCTCTCTTTACAGTACAGATTTTCTAGCTTTTAAAACCCTCAAAACAAAACAAAAGCCTAAAACAAACCAACCCACTACCATTGAATTGACTCTTACTCATAGGGACCCTATAGGACAAAGAAGAACTGCCCCATAGGGCTTACAAGTTTGTAAATCTTTACAGAAGTAGACTACCTCATGTTTCTCCCAAGGAGTGGCTGGTGGGTTTGATCCACCGACCTTTCAGTTGGCAACCAAATGCTTTAACCACTGCATCACCAGGGCTCCTTAAAAACCCTCAAAGTAACAGTTAATTTTGAAAGTTAAGTAAAGGTTTAAATAACATAACATAACCTAAATTCTCTGTAATCTGATATTAAATATCTAGTGAAAAGTTAGGCTCTTTTGATTGTAAGAATTTAGGGTAATCCAAGCAAAGAGGAAGTTTATTTCAAGACTACACATGGGACAAAAAGGAAACTAGACTCTCACATAAATTCAAATTCCTTTGAGGAGTCTGCAGTGAGAGTTTTTTGAATCTGAAGCAGCTCCTATGACCCCAACAAAATGGAATCATTGATCTTCGTGCTTGTATTTAATTGTTAACTGGATTGATTCAGTTGCTCTCATAGTATGACCAGCTGTCCTAGTTTGCTGAGCTTGAGAGTTTTCCTGGAAACTGTAGGACACATCTGAGCAAACAAAGATAGTTAATCACCCTGTTTCTGTGTGTGTGCTTCTTTCTTATTATTTGTCTACTACCAAATGATACTTTCTTTTCTCTTTATCAAGGAGCTCTGATGGTTTAATGGTTAAGGCATTTGGCTGCTAACCAAAAGGTTGGTGGTTCAAACCCACCAGCTGCTGCTCTGCAGAAGGAAGATGAGGCAATCTACTTCCATAAAGATTTACAGTCTTGGAAACCCTATGAGTTGCTATGAGTTGGAATTGACTCAATGGCAGTGAGTTTTTCTCTATATCATAGTTTCATAGTTTGGTATACTTGAGGCTCTTTTAGCTCTCTTTAGGTAGAACCTTTTGGCTTTTGACTTTCCTAGTTCTTTATCTGAGATAAGGAATCTTTATTGGCCCACCTTGCCTTTTTGCATTAGGTCTAGGTTACTAACCAGCCTGTAACTTGGTTGTTATGCCTACTTAGTGATAAAACAAAGCTTTTCCAACTTATGCATTGGATTGGAGCTTGTGAGCTATAAGAAGAAGCTCTTGTGAGTTGAAATTTTAGTTGGGTAGTATTATTGTAGCCATTTAGAAGTCTAACACATCTAAAAATCAGCATGCTCTCGTTGGAAATAAACTGCATTGTACTTGAATAGGATTCAACTTTAGATAGACTTTTTATGGCATTTACACTCACTTTAAATTGGTATTATGCTACCATTGCAATAAAATAGGTGAAATTCTCTAAATATATGGTCTCATTTATAGTCTTTTCCCATGACCTACATATTATTACTCATTGTTTCATTTATATGTCTCTCCATATAAATTCCATCTTTCTAATCCCTAATT